CCTCATGGGGCTACAGGCGGCCCCGGCCGGCCCTGAGAGGAACACCACCAACAACAACAACCTGGCCCGTCTGAAGGAGCTCCGCTGGCTGGATGTTTTCGACACCAACACCCCTGACGCGGTGCTGCGGGGGCTGCTCAGCGCCACCCGGCTGGCCTTCCTGGAGCCTCCAGGTCGGTCATCCCCTCCACTATCCTGGCCAGCGGCTGCAGCTGAGTCGTGGCATCATCTGGTTGCAGGATGAACCACAGATACCATTTGCAGGGTGGTCCGACCCGGCAGTGAATAGCCGATGCTGCTCAGGAACTCGTACTGCTGTTGGGACAGCTTGACGCGTATCCTCAGCGCCGCATGCAGCGAGTCGTCATCCCAGCGGGGAGGACGCACACCCGCGGTGAGAAGCTCAGCCTGAGGAAAACGGAGAGACTGAGCTAGAGATATTTTGTTCACGATGATAGTGACAATAACAATGACACAAAGTTTCGAGCGATTGCAACTCACTTAGACATAAATAAAAGAATGAATAAATATTCAGCAAAAGCTAGCACAGAATTGTGATGGCTTGTTTTCAGCCATGGTAATGAATTCCAACCCTGCGTCGCTCTACACACAACGACACAAACGCCTCGAGATTTCCGTTTTAACCCGGGGGACCTCAAGCTCTTAGCTGTGTGCTCCTCATGAGGAGCCACAAGACACATGAGCGAGACCAGTGAGGGGTCTGCGGGTTGCTGCAGGAGCATGCGCGTCATGTACGATCTTACGCATAGTATGAACTTGAGTCAAAACTCACTGCGTTCAAAACTCACTCACAAGGCAAGCTGCATCACGCGGAATGTTCACCTCCATCGTATCGAGCTTGATTATATCCGTCTGTCTCATCCAAGGAACCATCCTCCCATCATCCTCAATCGTACCACCAGCTTGTCTGAACTGGTGGTCATCCCACCCATGCAACCGGTGAGTTCCAGTGAGAGCATGTCTCTCCCGTTGAGCGCCTTAGTTCAACATCCAAACGGGGCACGACAGTCTCAACAGGACGGTCTCAGCCGCGGTTAGCCAGTTTTACCTACTAGAATCGCACATCACGCAATCGATATATAAACACCATTAACAACTTACTTCCATGAGTTGGCGAAGGCGGAGCTGTGTATAAGCTTTCCGCTCTGACTTCTTCATGTCGCGGTACACCTTTTCGACGACCGGGGTCGATTGACACCGCATCTCGGCGATGTCCATCTCGGTTATGTCTTCCAGGAGACCGCGGGCTCGCATCTCGTTTGCCTGGAATGCATAGTTTGACATCAGATTCAGTTTACGTATGGACAGATGTCTGATTAGTAAGCTACTTGGCAACTCTCTTTCTCTCTCTCTCTCTCTCTCTCTCTCTCTCTCTCTCTCTCTCTCTCTCTCTCTTCTCTCTCTCTCTCTCTCTCTCTCTCTCTCTCTCCTTCTCTCTCTCTCTCTCTCTCTCTCTCTCTCTCTCTCTCTCTCTCTCTCTCTCTCTCTCTCTCTCTCTCTCTCTCTCTCTCTCTCTCTCTATCTCTCTCTCTAATATATATATATATATATATATATATATATATATATATATATATATATATATATATATATATATACAGCATGCATACATACATGCATACATACATACATACATACATATACGTGGGGCACCCACCGACCGAGGCCTCTTCATCTCCATGCGTCATGGTGCTACACCGCACGTGTACGTGCAAGGGCCGTTTACACATAAACCGACGATTAAGCTCAAAGTTTGAACGCTGTTAGGACAGGCTTGGTGGGTTAACCGCACAAGTCACATGGGGTCTCACTTAGCACGTGCCCAGACGGCCGAGTGGATCCGTATTCTGTTGCCACGGATCTTGGAGGCCAGCGCCTCCGACAACCACTTGGGACGTCTCGAGCCCAGTGCCCCTGTCTCTTATACGTCCAGCTTGGGAAGGATGTCCTCGCCAACCTCGTCTGTGAACAATTGTTATCTCATTATATTCGAGCCAGCCCAGTGACATGTATCTCGCTAGTTGAAAACGTCTTATAATAAGTCCGGAGCACGTTGTAAGCACGGTGCATGTAAAATTCACATGGACTGACCCTAGCCACGCCATTGACAATGTCACCGTGCATGCACACAAACACAAACACACGCACAAACGCATGCGTGTAAGGCAGGTTAAACGAGGATGCCTGGCAGGTCGCACGACAACTGAGGACGTGGGTTTATACTGCACAGCTAACCGTGCAATGCAGCTCAGGGGACCCAGGGCATTGAGTGATTTAATGACAATCTGAAAATATTAAAATAGTAAAACGATGGGGAACAATGAGAGTTGATACAACCGAGAACATATGTGATATCCGAAAACAGTGTGTATGAGTACTTGGCATGAGTACGAGTACCGAGACCAGCTGTGTGTATGAACACTTTTCACAGTACCGAGCACGGAGGATGAGTAGATGGGTAATTATGTACTTACATAGCACATGCCACACATCCTTTAGCCGACGACACCTCATCAGCCGGGAGCCGCGGCGCCAGTGCCCGTCAGCCGGTGGGTCGTACCGCACCAGCCGGAAGCGACGCCGCATCAGAGCAGAAGCAACTACTGCTGTATGTAGTTTCCTTCGTTCAGAGACAGCTGTATTTCTCATCCAATTTTTTATATCAGTCCATGACCGCTGCTTCAGGACTTCTTCCTCCTCCTTGAGTCGCACGCACTCACTCTTCCCTGACAGTTCTTGGCGGTCGATGAACACACTAAGGTGTTTTTTTTTAACAGCTTCGTTCTCACTTTCCGTCCAGGGCAGCCTCTTCCTTATCGGTTCAGTACCCAAGACGCGGGTGCGTCCCTTGTGCGAATTCTCGTCCTGATGCGGTGCAGGGAGCTGCAGCTGCGGTGCAGGAAGCTGCGACTGAGGTTCGGGGATCTGAGGCGCGGGGAACTGGGAATCTCCCAGATCCAGTCCTTCCAGCGTTTTCCCCCGGTTTCGCCTAACCAACCCTGTCTCTGCCGCCCTCAACAGCTTACTGATCTTTGCGACCTGGGTGCATGGGTCTGTTAGCCGATAAAAGTTTCTGTGTATCAGGATGTCGTGCCCCATGAAGTTGGCGAGCATGTCCATCTAACGATCCTTTAGGTTCAGGACTTGCGAAACCGTGGCGACATGCTGACGCAGGGCTGTGGAGGTTATTGCGCCCGGCCTCTGCATACTGCTTTCTCTGCGTCTTCCTAAGCCAGTCACTACCTCTGAGTGGATGGAGGCGCGGCGACGCGGCATTGACGAAAACGTACGGTGAATCACCGACTCCCACGAGCTCCTGTGTGCTCACCAGTAAATCCATGCTATCTCTTACTTCAGGAGTGAGGAGAATTGGCACACCCCTGCCTCTCTTACCTTTGATTACAACAGAATCAGCCAGAATGAGCATCAAAGGCAACAAGCTATTGACACAAAATAAAGTTGGATTGGCATTACACAATAATACCTACATTGAAGGATCACTGGATGGTATCTTTTTGGATGGGCAAGCCGTCGGAGACAGTTTGGCTCTGGACAGAGGCAAGGATGAGCCTGGGTACATCAGTTCGAACTTGAGGCCCCTTTCATAGTCCTCATCTGTGAACTATTCGGAACACACACGTGGATCCTTCACATCATCCATTTGTGCATCCCTTTTGATTTTTTTTTTGCCACCACAATCTGCTCATGGCTTGGTCCTTCGGGAATCGGGAACCGAAGCCACTTCACCCCTGGCGGGCCGCTCCACACCACCTCCCCGACCCATTTAAACACCCTGGACCGCACAGTATGGCATCACCTGTGCATACTATGCTCCGGAAAGTATAAAATAAATCCTACAGCCTACAATGCCTCTTGAAGGTGATCTCGAAATAAATCCACAACAATATTACAAAACGAAAACTTTCACTTCAGCTAGGCAATGGCAAAAGTGAAGACTGTTATTGTTTTGTAACCTGCGTCAAAAATATGTTATCTTCTTACTGCCATATTGCTACCAGGTCTTGTGAAGTCACCTGGGCTGCAAAAATCTTATAGTGAACTAACCTTATAAGCAAAGTAATCTTGGCCTAACCAACCCTGTCTCTGTCGCCCTCAACAGCTTACTGATCTTTGCGACCTGGGTGCATGGGTCTGGCAGCCGATAAAAGTATCTGTGTATCCGGATGTCGTGCCCCATGAAGTTAGCGAGCATGTCCAGTCTGTCTTAAAAGTACCGCGCAAATTGACGGTGGATCCATCAAGCCTGACCGAGGCAGGGCCTGCTATAATTTGAAAGTCACCGAACCAATTGATCTGGGAAATGGACGAGGATGTGAATTGCTTCGGTGACTCAAATTCAGCAGGCCCTTCCTCGGTCAGGGTTGATGGATCCACCCTTACTTTGCGCGGTACTTTTAAGACAGACTGTCCATCTAATGATCCTTTAGGTTCAGGACTTGCGAAACCGTGGCGACATGCTGACGCAGGGCTGTGGAGGTTATTGCGCCCGGCCTCTGCATACTGCTTTCTCTGCGTCTTCCTAAGCCAGTCACTACCTCTGAGTGGATGCACTCAAAACAATTCTACTCTCCGTCGGCGGGTAAAACCCGTTTATTACGGGTACCCCTACTCGCAACCATATTTGACTATGCACCAGAGGGTAATTTTTACACTTCCCTCGCGGATCACCCTATCCTGTTCTGACGGATATACCCCAGCAAGCTGACCCCCCACCGTCGGGTTAACTCTTTACGTGTACCCGCAGAGAAGTGATTACTCTTCGCTCTGTTACCCACGCAGCCAATGTTTACTCTTCCCTGGGTGGTAGAATTTCAACCCGTTGCCGGCGTATAACCCGTTACTGGCGAATAACCTTACTCGCCAATATATTTAAACCACCCCTGCCGAGGGTACTTTTACCCCCTCTTGTCGGATACTTTACCCCCGTGCGCAGTCTTTACTCGGTATACACGCGGTTCTTACCCGGTCAGTACGGATATATTTCCCCGAAATACAACACGAAATATAACACATAACAGAAGCATGCGCTTTCTATTTTTCTATTCACTGCACAGTCACAGTGCACAATCATTGACGCCTTCTCGTACCATTCGTTCCCTTACTTCAGGGATCCAGTTTTTTTTCTAGTTTTAGCGCTGCAAAAACGTAACCCTCTTAAACACTTAAACAAAGTCCCCTGTCACATATACACCACCATCAAAGCAACGTCCGTGTCTAGGCTCCCATGAAGGGCGAATAAGGGGCAGGCGATGTGGCAGTGGGCCCTGTCACATATACACCGCCATCAAAGCAACGTCCGTGGCTCCCATGAAGGGCGAATAATGGGCAGGCGATGTGGCAGTGGGGCGTGACAGGACCACGCCCTCGTCCAGTTCGACCGCAGTCAATGAAAAACCGGCGAATGAGTCGGAAACCAGGACCTCTCTCTCTCTCGCTCAGTGCTGCAGCTCGCCGGCTGGGAGAAGTTTAGTGAGCACGGCCTGGAGCGCCGTCGGAACATCCTTCTTAACGTCGGAATGTACTACGTATACCGCCAGGAAAGTGGCCGTGTTCTTGATGCCAAGGTAGTAGAGCGGCTGGCAGAACACGGAAAACGATACCGCCCACGTGAGGAGCTGGAGCTCCTCGCTCCCACTGAGGGCGGCGCAGTGCACCCCCTCCACGAAGAGGGCAGCACTACCACCCCGCCGCACGATCACGGGGTATGTATGATGTCCTTCCTCTTCTACAAAAACTGTTTCCAGTTCCTTCAGGGAGGCCACCAGACCTTCGGCGTCGTGGCCTATGCAGAGAACAGAACAATGCGCAATGTTATTCTCATCTATGCCAACACCTAGGCTCAGATCACAGCATCAACTCTTACTCGTATGTTACATCGCTACTCAATCACGGGAACAGCTGTCATGTATTGTTTGCACTAAGTATAACTCACTAGATTTTGCACTGAACCAACCAAACGCTATAGATGTCTCCTTTCCTGACCATGAAGTAACCGCAAAATCTGAGTCATTTCAATGTACCGAGTCTCACGAAGAGGGTATTTTTCGCCCCAGCACTTGTTTCGATACCGCAGTGAAAACTGATTGGATTGGAGGAAACTGAAGTCATTGGGGGAAGGGAAATGGAAAGCAATTCATTATTTAACCCGCGTCCCGTTGGGGGAGGGGCATTTTGCCCCCCGGTGTTTTTTCGCAAATAGCAAGAAAGCGGCAGCGCGAAGCTCCGCCAAATTTTGGGTACCTTTCCGGACATCAATTTGACACCTTCATCAAAATTTCAGGTCATAGATCACCTTAGGTCAAGAGTTATTGAGGTCAAACTGAGGTCATGTCAAAAATAGTGTCATCTTTACACGCTCACCAAAGTCAGAGTTATTAATCAATCTTTAAGTTATTTGCATGATTTTGTAAAGAAAAGACGGGCCTACAAAACTGCCATCTCGGATTTTCAAAATTTTAGTTTTCTAAAAAAAATATTTCAAAAAATGATGTTTTTTTAAAATAATGAATATTTTTTATATTTCAAAATTTTCAAAAAAAAACGGAACATATGTGTTAGAACCCTATCTAGTGCATGTACACTGAAAATTTCAGGCCGATATCACTTTTGGTTACGAACTTATAGCTCTTAGGTGTTGACCGCCTGGTTGATCAATAGTGCAGACCCATCCAAACTTCAAATTTGGCATTTAAATGACTTCTTAGAGTATCCATGGTACAAATAAGAGTGTTAAAGAGTGTTTTAGTGACTTACGCTTGGAAAAATAACCTAAAAACATGTATCGCACAACTATGCGTAGTCATGTTACACATTTGACCTTGCGTGACCTTGAACTCATTAGACCTTGACTTCTCCTACTGAGTTTTCGCTTCCAAGTCTCAGATACACTTTCTAGACCATTACAGGTGGATTCCTGTCTGAAAGTTGACCTAAAAACATGTGTCGCATGACCATGTTTTTCATGTTTGAAAGTTGACCTTGTGTGACCTGACCTTGACCTGACCTTTGATGTGCACCACCCCTTAGGCCCTTCAGTGAGGTCGTGTGTCTGTCTAAGGGCTTCCCTGATAAAAAGAAGCATCTGGAAAGCTTCATTTCAGCAGGCGTCATAGTAAAACATAGCAAAAATGCGATATTTCACGTTTCACCTCGGTTTGACCTGACCCGTGACCTCGATTTAAAATTTATATGCTTTTGAGAGTTCACCACCAGGTCTACCCAACGCCGTTTGTCGCTTGTCGCTACGTCGCGTGGTTCTCGAGATATCTTCGGGGGCCAAAATGCCCTCCCCCTCCCCCAACGGGGGAGGGTCGCCAGATCCCAACGGGGCGCGGGTTAACCTGGCAGTTACTAGGGTTGTTGTTGCGACGGGAGGGGGCGTTAAACGCCCACGGCCGATAACAGACTCCCGAAGCAATAGGTGCAAGGGGGGAGGCAGGCGGCAAAGGAAAGCTATCAACGAGACGAGTTTATAGCACAATAACAATTTTCTTGAAAGGTCTTAGGTCATGTCAAAGAGCATGATGCGAGATGAACACTGGCGTCTCCTTAGCCGTAGAAACCAGTCTATCGGCAGCACCAATGTAACCCAAACTAGCATAATACATTGACAAATGACAGGGAAAGGTGTGATAGGCACAATCAAATGCCAAGCTCAGGTCAAAACGGGTCATGTTAAGTGTGTAAAGGCCTGCGTCACATGCTATCCTACAATTTTGTAGAATTCGATGACGAATCGATGACATCTATTTAGGAAATTTTCCTCAAGATCAGACGAAAAAAAGTTAAAAAGCGTTAACGAGTTAAAAAGGTCATACTTGAAAGAGTTAACTTTTGATTAAAAACAACTCCTTTGATGCAGCTTGGTGTCTTAATTTCCATCTTTTAACCCTTTGTGAAAGGGGAAGCTATGAATTAATGCGACCTGTCGAATTGGACGTGAGGCGAGGAAAAAAGATGCATGCAAATTACAAATCTATCGGGCAAATTGTTCCCCGACTGTTACTGTCCCTTACCGGGTACGTTGCGAAGAACTTTTTTGAGCTCCCGTAGTGCATCAGCCTGGACGGCCTTGCCGCCCCGAGCGTCCGACTTCAGTCGCGCATACTCTTCCCATATCTGCGGAACAGTGATGAACAATGGTGATAATTATTTTAATTACTAACAGAATATGATGTTGATTGGGGTGAGGAGCACTGACAGAAAGGTTACATAAACAAAACTACCGAAAACATTCCACGCGATTTGAGAATGGACGGATAACGAATATAAAACAGGACAGGACAGAACGAGACTGACGAACAGAGAGGAACTATATAACAATGACTAGGACAAGCTTCACAGACATAGCCAATACATTACTGGAAATTAAACACCAGGCCAACTAAACCCTATTACTGGTGGGCTTTCTGAACCTGGAGTTCGTTTACTGGTGTGTGTGTGTGTGGGGGGGGGGGCGATTCGGCCCCCTTAAGGTCTCTGACTAACCGGCCGATTTCGATGGGACAAACGCCATTCAATTGCCCTCATCGTGAATTATTTGATGTGCTATAAAACAATTTAAAAGTCAAAAATTTGGGTTTACAGTGGCTTTCTCCCCTAATATTTCACGATTTTCACGTTGTCACTAAAAACTCTATGATGTTGTTTTTTATCCAATTAAGATAATGTTTTAGGAGCAGCTACTTGATGAATAGGGCTATGATATATACTCCGGTTTTTATAATATTCGAAAATCAGAAGCGGTCCCAGTATATCGAAATCGTCAAGACGGCCGAAAAGTGTCCAGGAGAAATTGGCCCTGGGGACGACAATGGGCTATACGAAAGGCAAAAAAATTGGCACACGGTGCTCAATAAAAAGTCATCAAATTTCAGGAAGCTGGCTCCAGACGTTTTCTGTCAGATTTGAAAAACTACCGGCGGGGGCCGATCCCCCCCCCCCCCCAGTAATAGGGTTAATGTGTATGTGCACGATTGTGCAGAAAATGGCATGCTAAAAAGGGCAAGCAGGTGCGAACAAAAACGTGACTTATGCCCATTTATGCTCAATCGTGAGGTTTCGTCGACAGAAATTCACAATGCTCTGCATTGTCTTGCAATTATTAGGTAAGATACAATATGTTCAAAGTGTCTTTCACACTTTGAACTCCCCGCTGGATAGGATGATGTTATCAAAATGCCATTTTCAGAAATTTTCAGGGCCAATCTCATTCAAACATTCAGGGGTAACGTCGAACTGGTGCAGAAGGAGGTTCTGTAAGTCACATGTCAATATCCGCTTATGAGCAATCGAGATGATTGAAGGGCCAGATTCACCCCCCCCCCCCCCGCTAGCCGAGCGTGGGCAGTCAGCCATTCGAATTACACATACCTCATTTTCGTTAAAAAGCAGTGGATACTTGGCTTTCACTCCTGCGATGCTTTTTCTTGCGCGTTTGACACCGGCCAGCATCCGACGCCGGTCTGGGAGAGTTATCTTCATCGCTTCCTGCACCTGCGGAGAATCACGCCTTGTCGATAACTTGCCTTACTACTGAATACATTTTAATTTCACTTGAACAAGGAAACACCGCTTTTTATTCTCTTGAGCGTTTTAAAAAGCAGTACTTAGCGCTATTTTACTTTCATCCATATATTGCATAGATATTTTACATTATTGGAGGCCGCAAGACAAGGCACTTGACATGGACACACAAACAGTTGCCAGCCATTATCGTTGTTGCGACGATCAATCACAGACAAAAACGCAGGCACAAAGACGTGACCACAATTATGTATATGTATCAATATCAGCTACAGAAATGACCTATCGAGCATTTAAATACTGAAAAGAAGATTCAAATACGTTTCACGAGTCCAAAGCACATATATGAAATTCGAGTGCAGTGGCCAGGGTCTGCTATTCGTACTTTATACATAATTATGCACAGTGAACAGCCCAGGTAACAATTTTACGTTGTTACAAGGTACTAAGAGGGTTGAAAAAGGGTTGTCACAACGTGCCAATTTTACGTTGTCACAACGTAAAAATGCAGACGCCAGAAAACGTCATTTGAACGTAAGCCGAGTATGCAATTGAATGCCGTCGCAACGTTTCGACAACATCGTATTTACGTCGAGTGAACACTTAAATGGCGTTTGTGCAACGCTTTTATAACTAGCGTATAACCTCTCGACGACCTCATTACGAGCGAGCGCGAAGCGCGAGCGAGTTCTTCGAGGAATACTGGAAAAATCTGAGTATGAGCGGCCCGACACGGCACGGCCCCATTACGCTTTTGACGAACTTATATCTCTGCAGCCGCAGGCCCGATTCACGCGCGGTCTTCCTTGGTGGGTAGCTTCATCCCTTCTGCCTTGAATGAGACTAACCCCGGACCATATACGAGTATGCGTGATGAATGTAGCACGTGGCACGTGCAGAATGAAGGATGTTATGAACATGTTTTGTGTTATATCTCCAAAATGGCTTGGCCGTTTGTGCTCAATTTTGATGTGTGGCTAGACATCACGTGCAATATGCATGGCCCATCTGTAAATTTCAGGATTCTTACCCCGTAATGCAGAAACGGTTGAATCTATCGAGTTCCAATTTGTAGGTATTTGTAGGTTGTTTAGAGCGGCAGCGAGGAGCATAATGTAAATTAAAAGTAGCATAAATATGATAATGACAGTCTCCTCGGAAACTATACATATTTGAGTTAATTTCGTTTTGCTATTTACATCAAACATCAAACATTTGGATATGCTGCAAAACGCTGATGGAAGATTCGGTCGTCACCACTACAGAAATTAACTCAGGTCTGAGCACCAAAAATGACAGAAATATTTGCGAAATGATTGTTGACGACGCTTCCAAGACTTTTTCCGCTTCTAATAAACGATGTATAGGAGTCGAATGACCTGGTGGGGGGGGGGGGGCATCCCCGATATTCCGAAGGTGGCGCCGATCACAGGATGACCAATGATGAATAATCAGGGACCAAACAACAAAGCAATTACAAAGCAATTCCTTGTTGGCTGTATGCCAGGAAATGGGGTTAAGGCTTTACACGTACCTGGCTTTCGTTGAGAGTGCCCTTCTTCATGTCGAGTACGCACTCGTGCACCTTCATCCCGTCCACACGGGAGATGTCTGGGAGGAAGTTGGGAAGCTTCTTCGGTGTCTTCTTGCGCTGCTGAACCTCGAGGTCGTCGCATGCTTTCCTCTTATTCTTGAACTTATTGATCAGTGACTCCTTCACAAGTTTCTGTAACATGCACACCATACCAATATTTTGTTAGTAAATATACCTACAAAAAGTTGCCAGCCATTAACGCTGTTGCGACGATCAATCACAGACAAAAAAAAAAAACGCAGGCACAAAGCCGTGACTACAATTATGTACATATATGTATCACTATCAATATCAGCTACAGAAATGACCTATCGGGAATTCAAATACTGAAAAGAATATTCAAATACGTTTCTCGAGTTCAAAGCACATATGCGAAATTCGACTGCAGTGGCCAGGGTCTGCCAGTGTCAGTCACGGTATGACAGCTGCTGTATGTGTTATGACAGGTCTGAAAGCGAGCTTACTCAGTACCTACATGCTTGGCCCGGCACCAAGCCAGACTTGGTGTCATATTCCATAGATGATATTTGAGTTTATTGCTGGGCTTACAGATCTACTGGGTTGATAGTGGTGGGGGGAGGGGGCAGGCCTGGCTTGATATTTTAAGGGGATCTCAACATCTTTTGTCAATTGACTTCGGCTTGTACTCGTTCATTATACAGCAAGCAAATGAACAGAACAAACAACGGAAATAAAAGAATCAGTAGATCATTACATGTCGGTGGCTAATATATTTGCTCAGTTCGCGCACTGGACAATGGAATCGGCGACAGGAGCGTGTAACATTGGAGATTGGTGGGGACGTTGACTATGGTGAACAGTGATAACACTGAGTTGACGATGAGAGAAAGACATTTTATCACATGATTTCCAGAACTCACCAGCCGGTCCGACAGCCGCAGTCCTTTCCCGAACCCAGGGAATTGTTCTGCGACGTCAGCTGCGATAGCGTCTACGTTGTTCAGGTACCTGTTACAGAAAATCATATCAGCGAATGCATTCCGACACAATGAATGGCACAGTGAATTCAGCGTCATGTCTCATAAAACGTACAGTTTAGAATAGAGATGCAAAATGAGAGTAAGTACAGGCACCGCGTTGTGAAAAATTTCCGGCACGGCGTGCCTGAAGCGATGTCTGGCCGCGGAAAGTGTTGGGCTCAAGCTGGTCTAAGCAAGTAAACAACTTCATGAAAGTCGCTTGCGATGAAGCAAATGTATCAGACTTCGTGCCTCTTTCACACTCTTCTGCATCGAAACAATTAGGCACATCCCCTTAACCTTCTACAATGGCTCACCATTAGTGGTCCTATGTTCCCCCCAAATTGAAATGTCTAGCTCATAAGGGATGCACGATTTCCACATGGTAGCATAATGTGCAATGTGCATGCACATTTTTAGGCTCATTGAAATACATTTAGGGGTCGCAGAAAACATGCAACATCCCTGGGATATTAAGTAAAAAGGCATTTACGATGGGTATATCACTGCTTGTAGCCCCACGTACAACTTTCGTAAATAACTTTTCTAGGCTTTTCCAATACAATAGCAGGTTCATGAAATGCCAAGGAGACTAGCTGCCAGGATGCTTCGTTGCTCTTTTGTTTGTTTGTTGGGAAGCAGCGGGACGGTTGCCCCATTCCGGCAGTCCATCCAATGACTGAGGTACGAGTTTACTGTTAAAAACTATGTTGGGCTTCACAGATTATCGTTTTCATACCTGCTGCGACACGTCTTCGTGTACTGTTCATACACAGCAGCCATTATGTCTCTTCGCTCTCCTTTGCTGTGGTCACCGCCGTTTTCCATAGTCTCGCGGACGGATGGTGGAAGCGCTTTCGTGTCCAGGACGAACACCTGCCGGCTAAGAAACAATTACGTCATATACCAATGGCAAGCCACAGCAAATGGTGGGTGAAGGCTGGCGGGTGAATAGGGGGGGGGGGGTATCACTTTATACAGGAAATCTGTCACCATGTTTATTGGATTGGATATTTATAGTGTTGCAACCCAAGAACACGAATTAATATTGCATTACAAACGATACAAATCAAAAGAGTAATGCACCTGTCTTCTTGTTTTCAAATTGTACTCTTAGTCTCTTAGAGCATGAGTATGAACAATATTGAAAGAAGTCGGCTTCCCAATTGTTGTTTCCATGTTACAGCACATACCAGATGATTAGCACATATATACCTCGCACTGGTCCCGGCGTCCTTGCTGGACTCGTTGTCACTGGTCCCGCCGTCGGTGAGAGCAAGCGGGTCCTGTGCCGTTTCGCCGACGGCAGAACTCACAGAGGAAGAGCATGGCACCAAAAGGTCACTGAAAGAAACGAATAGCAATGTTGAATCTTCAATTCATGGCTATGGAAGTATACCGACTTTGTAGCAGTGGCACACCGGGGACGGTATGGTGTTTGTAATGTAATGATACCATTAATTAAATAATATAGTCATTAATTAAACAATATAACAGACAACGAAAAAACTCTCAGAAGAGAATTTCAGCCTGTCGCCAAAATGTGTGTGATAATTAGAGATACACAAAGTCCCCATACCAAAGCCCCGCACCGGCTCCGCCCCCGCTCAGACCTTGGTGTGACCCGACCACGACCCGTAACGGTGACAGTCAGGCCTGTGCACCACCAAGGCCCTGCCACCCGGCGTCTAACAGTGTGACCACATGGGCAGGGAGCCCGACACAGCCCGGCAAACACTTCATGCGAGACCCACTCTGCCCCGCCGGGCCTAAGTCCATGCCCCGCGCCAGGCCTGCGGGCTTCAACTTTGCAACTCTAGTGATAATTAACATTTCCGGATGGTAATGAAAGACAAAGGTAAATCAAAAAGGAAAATGAATATGTTAGTAGGGTCGTACAAAGGACTTACTCGATCACTGCTGAATCCTTGGAACAGGAGGGAGTTCCCAAGGCGCCAGGAGAAGCTGTCATCGTCAGGACGGGGATGGTGTCGGCCGTGCTGAGACATCTTTGGATGAATGACACTGGTGGGCTGGAGACTTGGACGGGGACAAGGCGAATCCGTCCGCCACATGGTAGGTCGTCTACTGGGTTATCGATGCGAACATACAATTCGGACTCCTTGTGGTAAAGCTCTAAGCAATAACTGCCAGACAGAGAAAACGCCTCTTTTGCGGCCGCCAAAACATCACCCTTATTCTTCACAGTCACAAGTCGGTTGATGTCGTGTTGCTGCACCACGTAGGTCAGCATGGCGATCGTGGTCCTGTAAATATTCGAATTACACATTTAGCCACAAAGTCTGTCGCGGCCAGGGTTGGGCTGGAAGCCGTGCCGAAGCCAGGACGGTAATAGGAAGCCAAAACCGAAGCCGAAACCAATGGCTTCCAAAATTATAATTTGGAAGCAAAAACCGAGGCCAGTGACATTCAGACCTGAAACGTGGGAAGCCGAAACCACAGGCTAGACTTCGAAGCCGTCTAGCTTCGGCACAGAAGGAGCACACTTCTAGCACACTGCGGCAAGGAGCCAAACACGGAGCCGGGATAAAACTAACTGCATCCACGACGCATGACTTGGAAAGACAAAGTCTGAGTGAAAAGTGAAATAACCGAAAAGAGTTAAAATCACAACGAACTTTGCGCACGCGTTTTATCAAAAAGCGGACTAAATTAGGTTTCCGTGTCTGGCTTCTGCATATTCGCGGAGGCCAGACACGGAACTCGAGGCCGAAGTCAAGGCCGAAGCCAGTAGCTTTTGAATGCTAGGAAGCTGAAGCCGGTCTGCCAGCCACCTTTTTCACGAACAACCCGGCTTCCGAAACCCGAACCCGAAACCGGCTTCCAACCTAATCCTGGTCGCGGCACACTGCGGCAGTACCTACATAGGTCCAAGTGCGCGATAAGGATATCTTTTCCCGGCATGTGACTGTAAGACCGAGCGACGAAGGAGCGAGGTCAATAGGTAAACATATCCTTACATCCGGGAAACATATCCTTACCCTGCACAAGTAGACTTGCAGAACCATAAATATTTCAATTTGGAGGTTGATTGAAGCTCCATTTGAATTTGAATGAATGAATGGTACAAAAATAGATAATATTTGTTTCGGTCTATACCAATTTCGTTGGCACAATTCATCCTTGATCTTTGCCTAAACGCATGCGACACGCAAAGACAGAGATATCTGCTTTGACAAGCACTGACAATGATAAATCAACCTGTAATGGAAAGGCAAACGGATATTTTCAAATTCCACGTGTCCATATATAGGTAAAGTACATTTTCATACGGCATCATGCAGTAAGCGCAGTTATCAACCACTGGTCATAATTTGGAGTAAATATAATATTTAAAAAATGAGTCGCCCGTAAAGTCGTCTTATCCCTGACGACAGGGTTACCAATACATAATGGCATCAGAGTTGGTCTAATATCGTTTACAACACGCTCGTTCTCTAACTCATATTTTGGCAAAAACAGCGGATTTGAGCTACGACTTTGACTTTGCATCCCTGATTTACCGCATTTTGCGGTCGTATCCCGCGCAAGTGCACGTTGCAAAATGCAAGCATAATCACTGAAAGTGGATGCTCCCAATGTAAAGATATAAATGTTCATCACACTTACCTATCGTTCTACAGCATCCCGTAGCCGGGTATCAGCCTCCGAGGAACGGCATAGTGGTGGTCATTGATCCAGTACGTGCCGAGGGGCTGGGGATCAACGAGACTCGCACAGTCGAATACATCATATTGATCTGTTCCAGAAATGATAAAAGCTCCCAAGGATGTGTCATAAATGGCCACCTGGTGCTGCACCAGGAATTGTTTGTCCGACTCAACGCTGCTTGGATGTTTGCAAATGCAGATAATCACAGCGACACCAGTGTGCAGCAGCAGAGCTTCACCCGCGCAGTACTTCTCGCCGTTTATTAGCGCCTTTTTGAAAAGCTGTGCCCCTCTCGTCAATGCAGCAGCCGCTTCCGGAACCTCTCCCCTGAAAGCTTGCCCGCCGCTCATACGACCGCGTAGTTCCATTGCATCTGCGACACTCTTCAGCTGATAACGAGTTGCGATGCTCTTGCATATATTTTTACGATTGCGCGAGTTTGCCACAGACCGCTTCAAGGTTTGATGTTTGGCTTCGTATCTCATGCTCCATAGATACCTCAATGGGCCATGTCTCCTCGTTTGATCGGCATAGTGTAAGAGGAAATGATGCTTCGGCGTCAGTTTGAACTCCGGAAAGCATGCGAGAAGGTCTGTCAAAAACTTTTCCACCATCCCTTGCAGGATATCCAAGTCTTGCAGTGACACCGTGAAGACAGTGAGTAGGAGCATGATTTTGATTAACTGCACGAGCAGGGAGTACATCTTGCTCCCAGACACAGCCGATGAGAGAACACCTGCACTCAGGAGAATCAATGGCAAAAGCCTCAGAAGACACCAAGCCTCACTCGCCTGCTGCTTCACAGTTATACCCTTTCCATCACGGCGTAACGGGGCGGGATGATTTGTGTCCACCTGACTGTATGGGAATGACCTGATAGCTCTGTTCACATCGTTCAGAGACAAATCACCGCGAGAGCTCAAACCACCGCACACCAGAGCAATGGTGGACGGCACAACGCCCTCTAGAAGATCATGCATCACATCAGGGGGTATCGACGTCATCGGGTGAAAGCCCGTCAATGAGCTGAACGGACACGTGCTTCGGATGCCGTACGCTTTCGAGAGTGATTCACCGAAACCTTCTTCAAGCAAAAGCTTCACTTTGGAGTCATAATCTTCTTTGGAACGGAGGTCAAACTCTTCCAGCTTCGTCTTTGTTCGTATCTCATCTGCCGTTCCATGACAGTGTCGGCAAATCATTGCACCCCCACTGAAGCACTGTGAAAAGCCCGCCACACTGTGTACGCCCAGATTGTCACCGATCAACACTGCAACGTGTGCAGTAAAATGCGAGCCACCACGAATGTTTGCCACAAAACCGCTTGATTCAAGCTCTTTAAGTTCGGTGATGAGTGGGTCGAGCAGTGTTGCCCATGAATGTGTTGCCAGCAGTGCCTCTCGAAAGACTACCGAAAGGATGATTTTGTTGCGAAGTGCGCTGTTCTTAAGACTGTTCACTGAAAAATAAACAACGCCCACTTTCTGGTTCTTTGCTCTGCTGCCCAAGGGGTTGCCTACTTGAAAACTGTCATAGTAGACTGAAAGAAGCAAACGACCTTCGCTGTTATTATTGTTATGGACGTATCCATCCTGAAGGCCACCAAGTATCCCATCTGGTGATGCAGTTGCATCTTCGCAAGCATTCACTTGCTCGCAGAGTTGTTTAAGCTGAGGTGTAACTGGCAAGTATTGGAGCGTTTCATCTTTCCCATGTTCGTCTGTGCCCAATGTCACAGATACAGGATCAACCGTTTCAAACTCCTTGACAGCTGTGCGTTCTAGGTGGTCGCTACCCTGTAACTTGCTCAGCTCATTCAGAGTCTTGAGTTTATGATAATATTCTTCAAGATGGCAGCATGGTGCCTCCCCACATAAGCTCAGACACTCTTGGATGACTTCTTTCGAAAAGTCCTCAATGAACTCCAGCACAGCATGGCAGCTATTTTCGGTCACATTTTGGGCGCGGAGTTTGATTATGAGTCCTAACAGTTGTTTTCTCACATCGTGAGCACCAGGGTCGTCTTCAACCTTGTCACCAGAGTCAGAATCAATCTCGACACCAGTTTCTTGTTGATTTTGAGACGAAGATGTCTCTGGAGCATTTGAAGCACAACCAGCAGCTTCAACCGGAGAACACTTTCTAGACAAAACATGATCTTTCCAATACCGAACAGTGGTGAACTTCTTGCGACACATCGGGCAATCCACGTGAAAATAAGGGTCTGATCCATGTCGTCGCAAATGCAGGCAAAACTCTCTCAAGTCTGTGTCAGTGTGGTGACACAAAGAACATGATAGCTTCACATTCATCTGAAACCAATAAGTGCAAAAACATTCTGAGCCAATTGTAAATTCGCCTGGTCTGGTTGTGAGTAACAAACATTTTCACAGAAAATCTGCTTATTTCAGTTGCATTCATTTCAATTTTAGGTGCGTGAGTTATAAGTTCCTACTGTGTCTGTGAGTGAATCTTTCAACTTCCATGCCGGGTTCAAAGACTACTGTGTCTTTGAGTGAATATTTGAACTTTCATGCCAGGTTCAAAGACAGACGAATGTTTATTGCAAATTAATGCAAAGGCGTAGGAACGTTGGAGCTCTATATACTCTGGGAACTTCACGCCTGATGGCTATGCGCCTTAACCCACAAAGAAGAAGATGGGAACTTCACGAATAGCTACCTAGTGGACAGTCATCTGCTAGCTTTGGCGTTGACTACTAAAAAAAATTGATCTTTTTATCCGAGGTAGTGTACACTGAGACAGTGAGAAGCGTTTGTCACTGTCCGCCAACTCACAGCCCAGCCCAGTCGAGTCGAGTCTATAAACTGAGCCCAGTCCAGTCGGGGTTCGTTGAATATCACTATATATGTTGCCCCAAGCATACCCGTTTGAAACATTATGCTATTTCAGTTTTACTTGATATTCACTTAGCCGCTATTATTATGCATCTTACTGAACAGGGCCACCGGCCAAGACCATTGGGCTACTTTCGTGAACACAAATCATTACTCCCAGTCCCTTACATAGGCATAGGAACAGGGAGGGCAGAGCAGCAATGGCCCCTAACATTTAGCCCAAAAATTTCCTAAAATTTACATTTCTTCAAAACCAAATGCAGTGATTGATTCCTCAGGTTGAGATGAGTCCAAAAATGCAGAGAAAGTTGGTGTGCGTGTTGGGTGGGTGGGTTGAACTTGGGTTCACCTTAAAATAAGACCCAAAGTTTCGCTGAAACTGTTCGCCCCCCCCCCCCCAACTTTTGTGATGTTCCTACGCCTCTGCTTCTTTATTTTTCAAATTGTTGATAAAAGACGTGCAGAGCATGCTTTTCAAAAATGGCCTTATCCATCTAGGAAAAATATTAACTGTGATTTCTTTATGCTAAGATTGTGTACAAAAACTTACATTGAAATCAAGGAGAAGGTAAATCACAAAAAAAAACTTAATCATTCATTGTGAATAATTTATTGAAAGGCGAATATTTGGTTGGAGAGCAAAATTATTCAGCAGAAAATGGTCAAATTCCAACACTGAAGACTTTGGATTTGAATAGCATGTATCACTTGCACTTCCATGTCCCCCTCAACCAGGTGCAAAATATCTTAAATGGGTGACAAGTTGTGGTAACACTGAAATACCTTGCACAAAAAATGAATGGTTGCCAGCAAGTAGCACAAGCATAAAATGTAGGTAGGTACGTACCTACCAAACATGTGCAAGTAACTGCAAGTAACTAACATAAGCTCAGTATTAGATAGCTGATAAAATGCATCCCACCCACACAAATAAATATTTCATCATAATCATATTGGTCCCATCACAATGCATGATTACTCACCGTCTTCAGATAAAAGCCGAGCACTGTAGCGTCAGCAGACGCAGCGGACCCAACACTCCCAAGGCACCGCGCGCGGTAATATGGCGACCGTTGTGCCCGACCGTTGGCGTTACTCGGCCGCAAATCTTCCACGTCAGGGTACTGTACCCGGCATCCAAGAGTACCCTAACATCCGGGAACATCCGGGACTTTTAGTCCCGCGGATGTTCGGCGGCGGGTACAGATAACGGGCCAGGCGGATACTTCCTGCAAATATGTGAGTGTATCCCGTGTCGGCGGGTAATGGTGACGCCCAATGCGTGTACTGTTCACTCTCCGATCGCGAGTCATTTCTTAACCCGCTTGTCGCTGATTACAACAACGCATTCGAAGGGTCTTTCATTGCAAAAAGCGGGTAGTATGAATAATAGTCGAGTGTTTTACCTGATACTTTCCCAACCCGCAAGTATCAACCCGGTTACAAAGAGTGAACACGTGTGGCACCACTCCTATGGCACGGATTCACCCACCAACGGCGAGTCGACTTGTTTTCAGTGTGGAGGCGCGGCGACGCGGCATTGACGAAAACGTACGGTGAATCACCGACTCCCACGAGCTCCCGTGTGCTCACCAGTAACTCCATGCCATCTCTAACTTCAGGAGTGAGGAGAATTGGCACACCCCTGCCTCTCTTACCTTTGATTACAACAGAATCAGGCAGAATGAGCATCAAAACACAAAATAAAGTTGGATTGGCATTACACAATAATACCTACATTGAAGGATCACTGGATGGTATCTTTTTGGATGGGCAAGCCGTCGGAGACAGTTTGGCTCTGGACAGAGGCAAGGATGAGCCTGGGTACATCAGTTCGAACTTGAGGCCCCTTTCATAGTCCTCATCTGTGAAGTATTCGGAACACACACGTGGATCCTTCACATCATCCATTTGTGCATCCCTTTTGATTTTTTTTGCCACCACAATCTGCTCATGGCTTGGTCCTTCGGGAATCGGGAACCGAAACCACTTCACCCCTGGTGGGCCGCTCCACACCACCTCCCCGACCCATTTAAACACCCTGGACCGCACAGTATGGCATCACCTGTGCATACTATGCTCCGGAAAGTATAAAATAAATCGTACAGCCTACAATGCCTATTGAAGGTGATCTCGAAATAAATCCACAACAATATTACAAAACGAAAACTTTCACTTCAGCTAGGCGATGGCAAAAGTGAAGACTGTTATTGTTTTGTAACCTGCGTCAAAAATGTGTTATCTTCTTACTGCCATATTGCTACCAGGTCTTGTGAAGTCACCTGGGCTGCAAAAATCTTTTAGTGAACTAACCTTATAAGCAAAGTAATCTTGGCCTAACCAACCCTGTCTCTGTCGCCCTCAACAGCTTACTGATCTTTGCGACCTGGGTGCATGGGTCTGGCAGCCGATAAAAGTATCTGTGTATCCGGATGTCGTGCCCCATGAAGTTGGCGAGCATGTCCAGTCTGTCTTAAAAGTACCGCGCAAATTGACGGTGGATCCATCAAGCCTGACCGAGGCAGGGCCTGCTATAATTTGAAAGTCACCGAACCAATTGATCTGGGAAATGGACGAGGATGTGAATTGCTTCGGTGACTCAAATTCAGCAGGCCCTTCCTCGGTCAGGGTTGATGGATCCACCCTTACTTTGCGCGGTACTTTTAAGACAGACTGTCCATCTAATGATCCTTTAGGTTCAGGACTTGCGAAACCGTGGCGACATGCTGACGCAGGGCTGTGGACTGTGGAGGTTATTGCGCCCGGCCTCTGCACACTGCTGTTCTCTGCGTCTTCCTAAGGCAGTCACTACCTCTGAGTGGATGGAGGCGCGGCGACGCGGCATTGACGAAAACGTACGGTGAATCACCGACTCCCACGAGCTCCTGTGTGCTCACCAGTAACTCCATGCCATCTCTAACTTCAGGAGTGAGGAGAATTGGCACACCCCTGTCTCTCTTACCCTTGATTACAACAGAATGAGGCAGAATGAGCATCAAAACACAAAATAAAGTTGGAGTGGCATTACACAATAATACCTACATTGAAGGATCACTGGATGGTATCTTTTTGGATGGGCAGGCCGTCGGAGACAGTTTGGCTCTGGACAGAGGCAGGGATGAGCCTGGGTTCATCAGTTCGAACTTGAGGTCCCTTTCATAGTCCTCATCTGTGAAGCATTCCGAACACAACGTGGATCCTTCACATCATCCATTTGTGCATCCCTTTTGATTTTTTGCCACACAATCTGCTCATGGCTTGGTCCTTCGGGAATCGGGAACCGAAACCACTTCACCCCCTGGCGGGCCGCTCCACACCACCTCCCCGACCCATTCAAACACCCTGGACCCGCACAGTATGGCATCACCTGTGCATACTATGCTCCGGAAAGTATTAAATAAATTAAAAATGAAAAAAAAAAGAAAGTAAAAATAGATAACTTCACATCATACAGCGCTGTTAATTGCGTTGCAAGTCCCTCCCATTCACGAGATGCTCCGAGGCTCGACCTTACGGTGTTTCGGTGCGGCCTTTCGCTCGTCCCACCGGCTACGCCAGGCGTACATAGCGGCACTGGCACAACTTGCCATTGATCCGAGCGTTGTCGCTGGCTCATTCTTGTACCATGTTTATGCGTTGTGCAATGCCGAATTTGACGCAGTTATGCATTGTGCTGGTGGCGTATTTGAAAGAGAGCGTGTCCATGCACCTGTCCCTCAGAGCGGACTGGTTGACAGCATCAGCTCGCTTCTGGCTGTGCCTCCATGTCAGGCCACCAGGCGTCTCATCCGGCTGCTAACCTCTGTATGATACTGTTTGTTAGTATAAGTGTTTTTACAACCCACGAAAGAAGTTTGGGGTTTCCTAATACACCCCATGCCGTGGTTGATAGCATTTCGTCGCATTTAAGCCGTTCGCGCGATCAAATCTTTGGTCATTTGAGCAGTACGGACAGTCTATCCTGGCACAGCCCCACCCCGTCACGGGGGACGCACACCCAGTTCACGCGTCATCAGCCGCAGATCGCATGAACTGTTTCACTTTGGCCCACAGCTTCTGGCCGTCGTTGATAGGATAGGCCATAGGACGGCCTACTCCTCGCGCCCCTGCCGTGTTTTAGGTTGAAGATGCTGTGCATAGCGATACATGCCAACAAAGCGGTATCTTGGTCATGGGCGGTTACGATTTGCTGAGATTCGGCCACCAGGATATAGGCGCCGTCTTTCGCCTGGATATGAGGATGGCCCGGCTCGATGACTTCCCGAACACCTGGCCTGCGGATTGCGGATCCCAGCGCGTTCTCTAGGTCCCTCCATGCGTCTTCTGCAAAATGACACAAAAAAATACAGGCAATTCGGAGATAAGGCTACATCGATTAACACGACACACGCGGGGGGGGGGGCGCAAGCGCAGAATAGGTATATGTCCCATCTCGTCTTTCTCCGATAGCTTCTAAACCGTTGGGAATATCGAAATGAAACTTGCAAAAGGGCCGCTATAGGGATCAAAACAGCGGAAATACACACTACACAGAATATGCCTCAGTCTCAGCAAAGTTCGCCATGGTGGAGGCTGGAGAGGGACGCATTTAGCCACACCACATTATCTCAGAATCAAAGAAAGCTTGAGAGTTGAGAGACGCCGAAAAAGCATTATACAGCTCGCTATAAGATCGTTTAGACTCATTCTGGTCATTTTGTATCAAATATGTGTGGCAAAGACACCCCCCACCCCCACCCCCTATACGTGCGAAAGTTATCACATGCTTTTAATCAGACTGCGCCCTTTTCAAGACGGTAAGCATCTCCAGCTTCGCATCCGCTTTCTTGTCATCCTTCACGCGCTCCATCTCGAACCCCACCAGCTGGCCAAATATGTAGTAGGTCTGGGTTACGGAGGCTGCTCGCCGCGCGTTTTATGGGCGCTATGGCAGCGTCAAGCTTCTCGGCGCCACGAGCACCCTGCCCCCTGCCTGCTTGACTTGGCCGTTGGTGCCAGAAGATCGCGGATGACTCGGGCCGTCGACTTAGCTAGCTGCTGGTGGCACCGCGGACACCAGAGGCGCTCCGTGGAGCGTCGCAGCTGGGGAGACTCATGAGGCACAACTCGCTCCTGGTGGCACCCCGGACACCAGAGTTAGATCATCGTGAGTTACGGACGGACAGTTAAAATACACGCCGTCTTGGGCCCAGGTAGATGTATGACTGGCTGACAGGCACTG